CCTTTTTTTTTTTTTTTTGCTTAACTCTTTAAGCCCTGTGGGCGTTAAGAGGGCAAACACATTATGGATTCTGGCCATGCCCACAATTGTGCGGCCGGGTAGTGAGGGCCCGACATATCCGAACGGACCACCCCCCGAAGGTTTTTCGATTTTTCCAGATTTGAATACTAACTATTCGGCCACCCGGCCGTCAATGAGCGATATCAACACATATTTTTTTTTATTCTCTTTCTTGAGAGCAATAAGAAGACTTTTAATCATTATCATAGCTATTATACTCAATATGGGTGGCCGAGATAATAAAAGTACCAGACTGCCGCTCACATATTTACACTTCCCAATCAACAGCGCAATGGTGCCACGTTGACTGGTGGATCCATCCTGGCAATCTGTAGATGTTATGCATCAACGTTATATTTATAATTAATTAATTAGTTATATTAATAAATAAATACTTTATACTACTAATAATAATATATATTGAATATTTATAAATACAGATGTTATNTTTTGTTTTTTTTTTTACTAATGCTGTTATAATCTTGTTGCAGGCGGCCGGATGGGCGAGCGGTCAAGGTGGCAGCCCATCGCTCTGGGAGACCCGGGTTCGAATCCAAACGGGTCGAAAAATCCCCAGGAATTTTTCGGCGGAAATGGTCCGTTCGGATATGTCGGGCATTGTCCCTCACCACCTGGTAGCCCCATTGTGGGCCTGGCCGAACCCATAATGGGCTTGCAAAAAGAGGTCCTCTTAGTGCCCACAGGGCGGAAAGAGTCAAAAAAAAAAGAAAAAAACTTGTTATGGGAAATGGAATAAATCGAATTTGACGAAATGTCGTTGTCAAAAACAAACATGATGGACAGCATTAGAATTATCTTGTTTGGAAACTATAGTTATAGGTTCATTGATTGTGCCTAGTATTATATCAAAGAGAATTTTTTCTGCAGTTTCCAGATTCTATTATGGCATGGTCGTATAAACTTTTCCGCGTAGAGAATCCCATCATGGCCGCAAAAACAGTAACGAGCTTTATTTATCATCAGATTTAAATACTAAATAAGGCATAAACCGTATCTTAAAAAGTATGGAAACAACTGTTATCTATTGCTACCAACTTCTCAAGTAGACAGCCGGATGCCCGAGCGTTAAGGTAGCATCTTGACCGCTCGGACATGCCAGTGTACTGTTCAAATGAGCGAATTCTGGATGGAATCCAGACTGATTGAAAACTCCGGGAATTATTCGGGGATTAGATCATCAGAATATATCAATTTTCGTTCCTCCCCATCCGGCCACCCAAGTTTGGCCAAAAACATTGTAAGTTTGTTATAAAGGCCCACCACAGAGCTGAGTTTTTAAAAAATCTTAGTTATATTAAACAAATAAAAAAATTTAAGTATGATATTTTTAAAATATTTTGTACTTTTTTATATAAGTAAAGATAATGACGATAAAAAAGGTTTGAATGACATTAGCGGTTTTTTTTTTGTTGTTGTTTTTTATTGAGAATCGATAACTCAATCCACGCAAGAACTTTTATTTTATTTTATTTTATTTTGTAAAAAAGACCACGACATTGAAAAAAGCAAAGGATTACCAATTTTCTTTTTGAAACAAATCTAAATTTAACTAACTACAATGAAACTTGTGTAAACAGAAATCACATGGTACCGAATATTTATTCCAGTTTGTCACCAGCCGGATTTAGGCATTTCGAGGGCCTAAGCTGAACTGTGAATCTGTGTGGGATCCCTTACCAACCTAAGTAAGTTATATTTTGTTGGTTTGTAAAAAAATTTATTACAAAATTTAACTTCAATTTTTTTTTCTAGAAATTTCTGAGGCCCCTTAGAACTCGAGTCTACAGATTACATAGCTTATTTGTAAATACGGCCCCATTTGTCACGTTTCCACTTTAAACAGTTTTTTTTTTTTTTAACAGAAAATCGCTCTGTTCCAGAATATTTTCCGTTTAGGCATGTTTCTGTTTCGGCAACCAGTAACGGGGATGCCATTAACTGCTCGACACAGAGCTGTACGCTTGGAGTGGCCGCTGTCATCGCAACCAATTAATGGCATCCGGTATTGTTTACGGATGAATATCGCTTCTGTTTGTAAAGAAGTGATGGCCGTGGATGGATGTGGCGGTATTTCAGGGAACGCTACGTGCCAGCCCTTTTCTCCGAGATTCACATCTGGCATCATAATTTGGGAGTCATCATGTTCGATCAGCGGACTGTCCTGGTGCACATTTCCGGAACTCTGATAGCGGATCAGTACCTCGTCCGACGTCAGGTGCACCGGAGACCACTGCTACATATCGTATACGACTTGCGCGGCTCAGTGGAAGTGGCTTAGCAAGGGATAACCCAAGCAACCGTTAATAGTCTCATTGGTAGTATGCCTCGCCGTATAGTGTCTTGTATAACTGCCCGTGGGGACCATATTCATTACTGAATAAACAGATGTCTGTTGCATATCTTTGTTTTTTTAATCATTTGCATATCTCTATCTACCTCTAACGGCCCTGCAATTTGCATGTGGCTACGCGCATTTCTTCGCGATGTTGCGATTTCACTTTTGAGGAGTGTGTATGTGTGTATACTGTATATATATATATATATAGTTCAAAGGAACCGTTTCGAGGGAATGGTTCCAACAGTTCCAGTTCTAGAAATGAAACTAGATTTCCCACCTCTGGATTAGATTCAAGTAAAACATCCGTACTGGTGAGGGATATATAAAAATTTTGAGACATCGGGACAGGAGTGTTAGCAGAATGACGATGCCCTAAAGATTCTCAAGAATTTGTCCATTTGAAATAATTTTTTGCCAAAATTATTATGCAGGTGAATTTTATACAAGAACTGTGTGTGGTCATTTTAGATATTTATAGTTATATATTTATAGAAGCGTTGTAACTACGCTCTTTTAGAAACGCTTTAATAGAACTTTAATATGAAAGGATAATGGCAACAGTCATGAATTATACATATTTTAAGAAGTACAGTACAGTACATCACTGTACGTTTCGTCATTAAAATTAACCAATAATAGTTTAGTACTTAACCTAACTGTTAGTCTTATCAGTTATTTTACATACTGTATTTTTAAAAAATAAAAAATAATATATATTGAGAGTGAAACAAAAATAAATATTTAATTAACTAATATATACAGTAACTAAATTTTTTATATCAGGCGCATTTGAAAACACGATAATCATTCAGAACACTCAATTTCGATCAATAAATGAGATATTAAACATGATAAATAAAATAGACAAGCTAATTTATTAGAAAGATTATTAATTAATCAAATTAGCATAAAAATATTTGATTTTAAATAAACAATTCATTCGAGAAATCAGACTTATTTACTCCGAGCAAACGCGTACTGCACCGAAACGAGTTTATGATTCCCGAACGCGCCAAACATTAAAAAGTGCTGTCGATTTAATTACTAGATGGCGCTACATGGTGTAAATTTTCTGTAATTTTCTGGAAGCGAAAATAAAATTTTAAGGTAACATTTGATATTATTTATAAATTTTTAATAATCAAACATAATAAATTGGATCGATGAAAAGAATTTGATAACTTCTAATTTATTTGTCAAATGAATTCTCTTGCGAAGTTGGTCGACATGTTTGAAACTGATTATAAACATCTCTGCAGATTCGAAGTGACGTCTCAGTACTTCTAAACAAGCATTTTTGGTATATTAATTGAAAATTATTTATATTTTTCTATTTTAATACAAGTCAAATATACATTTAATTGCATTTAATTACAGTGACACTTAAATAATGAAAAATTATTATATACAAATGATTTTGATCAATACATCTGGAGTATGAATCACGTTTTTTTTGCATGATTCTTGCAATTCATTCGAAATTGAATGCAAAAATGACATCAATTTCAAAAATTGCAATGCTTAAGTCCCAAATCGGTATGTTTATCATGTGGGAAATTATGTTTTATGTTAAATCATTAATACACATGAAGCTTCTGTACATAATTTGATGCAGAGATCTTGTTTCTAGACTATATTATGTAATAAAGCTTCATTTGTTTTAATTTGTAATTTTTGAAGTGTTTGTAACAAAATATTTGAACTTTTCTCTGTGTAAGAATGTTTTTGTGTGGATTTTTCAATATTATTACTTTCAAAATTATGATATTTGGATTTGTTTTATATTCCCTGAATGCAGATCTTTGTATTTTGAACTTTTTCCTGTTTTAAAATTTTAAAGTCATTGACTGAGGTGCGTTGAATGTTTCTATTAATTTTTGTTTTCCATTTCAGATTTTGTATCATTGCTTTACTAAGCTCATAAACTTTTTTTGAATCATTTAGATCTATTTTTAAAGAACACTGCTTTATATTCATGTTTACAGTTGATTTTTTTACGTTGTTTCTTGCAAAATCCTCATATATCAATTTTGTGTTTTTTTCTCTATCTTTTTTTATTTGATCAATCTACATTTTTTATATTTGTAATTCATTTTTGAACCTGTACAATATGGCATAAGATACATCACGATAATATAAAAGAGAAACTAATTATAAATATTACTAATTTATTTATTTTTTTATATTATCATCAATTAAAAACTTCATAACTGTTTTTAGAGACTGAAATTTACTCAATCTGACATTGCATTTAAGTTGAATTAATCTTTCAATTCTGAAAATCCATTTTTAAAATTGTTTTCAGTAATTTCTCTGTTTTTATATTGTGAATTTTTTGATTATTACAGCAAATTTTTAAGTGTTTTTGTATCATTTAGATTTGTTTTTAGAAGCAGTGTTTTGAAAATGTTTTTAGTGGATCTTTTATTTTCTTTCTCACAAAGCCATTACATTTTGACATACAGTCGACCCCCCTATAAGATAGAGATACGTTCCATTCTTTAGGAATCCGATTTCTTACGAATCCTTCCAATCACAACCCGACACGTATCAAGTTTACGGACTACGGCTGTTTGAAAGATTTTCTTCCATAAAATTAATCGATTTTAGACTAATCCGACTCAACATTTCCAAAATACGTATATTTTTTTTGGGAATAATCCGTATAAACTACGCTATAAATAAAAAATTGTAGGATTACTTACCGAGTGTCACCATTCGACATCGCCATTGCTCAACATTGTTTTCGTCGCGGAACAGCTCAGCAAACCGCGGCCGATTTCTAATAACTTATTTTTCTGCAATAGTTCCTTGAACTTCGGAGACATCATTAATATAAATAATTTTAATCGCCGTTGAATAAGAAATGTTTCTTTCACAAGAAATGTATAAAATTACAGTACTGTATTAGACTTACGGTACCTAATTTACATACTGACAGACGATAGTTAGCGTAAAAATCTCCGTAGCGTGGCGCCACGCTAGACGGCGGAAATTATATATTTAATTATAACAAAGTTACAATAAATTAATATATAATTATATATACAGTACCTAATTTATATATAATTATATGTACAGTACCTAATTTATATATAATTTATATAATACTGTCCAGACGATAGAAATCTCTCCGTAGCGTGGCGCTACGGACGGCGGGAAAGTAGTTCGGCTGCCCGATGACGTTTGAGGTAATTATAGGGAATTTTTACTGTTTTTTACGGATACTGGTCACAATTTTTTCGTAGTTTTACAGGAATCGTAATTATAGGGACCGTAATTATAGGGGGGTTGACTGTATATTCTTTTCTTTGAATTTGATTTGTTGTCTTCTGGGCTTTATTTCAGTTCTGAAACATTCAGCCATAGAATAAGATGTATTTGAATGATACTTTGTAAAAAGTACAAATTATAAATGCTTCTGATAATATTGTTTCAATTAGTTTGTTTTTCTCTTTTTTTATATTGTTATTAAGTTGCCAAATGTTTTTGATTTACTCAGATAAGTAGTTCTCAAACTTTTTAAAGAGAGAGTTATTTTTGTAAAATTCAATTTCACTTTTGTAAATATATTTATTAAAAATTATACTGAATTGTACTTTTTTAGGATGTATTTAATTCTAATACTGAGGTCTTACAGTTTTTGATGTTACATAAATACATTTTGAATAAAACTAAAATAGCATGTAGATATACTTACCAATAAATTAAATCAAATTTTGATGATGAAATAACTACATCATAGTTATAATAATAATAATCTCTTTTATGTACCTCTAGAAAGGTTCTTAATCCACAGTTTGAAAACCACTGATAAGGATCAATTTTTAGTCCATTATTTTAATAGATATCTTTACTTTATTTCTTCCAGAATTATTGTATTTGTACTTGCATTTTATTGTGTTCAAGTGTAGATTTTTCCTCAGTTCTTGAAATTTAAATGTTGAATAAGTCATATAAGAATTGCAATTAAGAAAAAATATAAATTAAAAATGTTTTTAGTGATTCAAACAAAAATGGCACACTTAAACTGGAACTATATAATCAACTAACTGACACCTAAATGCAAATTCCAGCACATAGTAAACAAAGAAAGCTTAATGTTCAAACGTTTTCAGCTGCCTTTTAGAGGCTATCATCAGGAATGAATGCACAAAAAAACACAAAAATAGTTCTATCCTTTGAAAATTTCTTTACTTTGATAGTCAAACTTACATTCAAAACTTACAACAAGATTCATATGGCAAATAGAATTATAACCATGAAGATTTATCACAAACCAACACACATTTTCCTCTTTATACCTGCTTACTCAGCGGACCCTTGGCCTTTTAAGGTCACGGCATTCCGGGCCCTAGTTATAAGGGCTTACTCACATTGTTCGGAGACATCCGATACCTACAACAAACTGGAACACATCAAGTCTACAGCATCTGCCCATGGGTACCGCCATTTATTAATTATCACACTCACTGCCAAACAACAATCTAGGATAGCTAACACCAGTACAGGGTTAATGAGGCAGAGGGTAATCATGTTGTCATATGTTACAAACTGTCCCTACACAAATTTACAATAGAATTGCTAAGGATTTAAACTTGTGCTTAACATATAAGAGAAAACTGAACATTTTTTGGCTTTTAACTAATGCAAAAGACAGTTGGATGACATGAAAGTGTCAGGATGTACCATGTTCCATTGCAGGATGGACGATTCAACAGACGTATATCATACATCAGATCCACGTATAGATCACTTAGAACAGTGTTTTTCAACCTCCTTGAATACATGACCCCTTTACAAGTTAAAAAATTCTGGCGACCCCTAGGGCCATATTAAAACTATATCAGTGATTTTTAAAAACTATGTATTTAATTTTCTTTCTGTTGAGACGAATTATTGTTGATTAATTAAAGTGAAAATTTCAGAAGAATCGACAATAACTTAACACACATAAACTATGAAACTTCCTTTAATTATAACATTCGGCACAGGGAGCTGTTGACATTTTTTTTAAGGATCAGATTTTAATTTCTTTTTTGCAAATCAGCTCAACACTTTTTCTGCTATCATTTTCTGGGGTGGGCCGTAATTCTCTCTGAAATTGTAGTTTTTTTAATGTAGTGTAAGACCTACAAACACTGGTCTTTTTCTTCTACCCATGACCCCCCGTGTAAAACTTCGCGACCCCCCAGGGAGTCGCGACCCACAGGTTGAAAAACACTGACTTAGAATATGCAACCATAAATATGATATGGCCAAGGGGAATTATAATACAGCACTATTGCTACTGAACCCGAGGTTTCTCCCTGTTGGGATGAAGCTACTCTTATACATAAGGTTTTTGACTGGCATGATTTAAGTTTGTTGGAGGCTCTAGAAATTTATGTAGTGGGAATGAAGGGAGATTGCATTAACTCCGACTATATTACATACAGTACCGCAATCATGGAAGTACTATTTAGATTGCCACAGAGTATAATAATAATTTTATTTGTAATTATTTATTTAATTTATGTGATATAAATGTAACAATTTCTGTATTGAACATTGTTTAAATGTTTAAAAATTGGAATGCAGTGAGGTTTGAAAGTCAGAAATTTTCAAAGGTTAGAACTGTTTTTGTGTTTTTTGTGCATTCATTCCTGATGAGGGCCTCTAACAGATGGTCGAAAACATTTGAACATCAAGATTTCTTTGTTTATTATGTACTGGAATTCACATTTAGGTGTCAGTTAGTTGTTTTTAGTGATTTGTTATTTTATTTTTCAAACACTATGTTGTTTTGATAACTTATTAAATGCTTTTTGGATCATTTACGACCATTTTTAGGGTATAATAAGTTGTGTTTCAAATTTATATGGACATGAAAAAATTAAAGTGAAACCCAAATTTGCTGCATTAAGTGACAAATGTTTTATTAAAAATAATATGGATTTACATGGTTCCACACTGCAAAATAAGAATTTTAATCAAACATTAACATTTTGTCACTGAAAATAATATTTTTGAACATTTTGTACAAAAAAACTGTTACATATTTATCTGGACAGGCACTCATTTCGTGACTTAAATAGAATATTGTTTAGTTTCAAGCATTGAAATATGCAAATTAGCTTACATATCTAATTGTAATACAAATTCTTTATGTTGTTCAAAGTTCTAAAATGGGTAGAACAAAAATTTATCTGATTATGAAAAAGGGCAGATTGATGCCTATAAATCACAAGGCATGTCAATAAGAGAAATTGCAGCATATATAAATCGTCCAAAATCAACTGTTGATGATTATTTATCAAAAAGACGTGGCAAGGATGTACCAAAATTCAAGACAGGTCCAAAACCCAAGCTTATACCTTGAGATTGAAGACAAATCATCAAGGTTTGCTCCACAAAATAAACATCAGTAAGAAAAATAAAACAAGAATTAGACTTACCGTGTAGCAGCACAACAGTGTGGAGAGTTTTAAATAAACCTCCAATGTTAAAATTCAAAAAAAAAGCTGTAATGCCACCACTTTCATTAAAGCACAGAAGTGACAGACTTGATTGGGCACAAAAACACATGACATGGTCCAAAGAATGGATTGAAGTTTTGTTTAGTGATGAAAAAAAAATTCAACTTAGATGGTCCAGATGGTTGGAAGTATTATTGGCATGAGGATTTAAGAACCTAAAAGCAAATATTTTCAAAATGCCAAGTGGGTGCAGGATCAATAATGGTGTGGGGTGCATTTGGATTCAATGGAACAACAGATTTAGCATTTATAACTCAAACAATGAATTCAGAGAAGTATCAAGGCATTTATTGGAAGCTGGACCAAATTGGATCTTTCAACAAGATAATGCCCCTGTGCATGCCTCTAAATCAACAAAAATGTGGTTTAAACGTAAAAATATTAATCTTATGACATGGCCTGCTAGAAGCCCTGATCTGAATCCGATGGAAAATCTTTGGAGGATAATGGTTTGTACAGTTTATGCCAATGGAAAGCAGTTTTCCACAATTCATGATTTGAAGGCAACAATTTCAGATGCTTGGGACAAACTTAAGATTGAATTCCTTCAGAATCTAATTGAAACAATGCTTAATCGAGTATTTAATGCAATTAAGTTAAATGGTGGTTACATTGGCCATTAAATTGTAAGAAAACTATGCAATTTCAAACCTGTCCAGATAAATATGTAACAGTTTTTTGTACAAAATTTTCAAAAATATTATTTTCAGTGACAAAATGTTAATATTTGATTAAAATTCTTATTTTGCAGTGTGGAAACATGTAAATCCATATTATTTTTAATAAAACATTTGTCGATTAATGCAGCAAATTTGAGTTTCACTTTAATTTTTTCGTGTCTGTATAAATTTGAAACGCACCTTATTTAAAATGATGAATGTGACTATACTTCCTGATAATGATTAAATAAAAATTATAATGATTCTTAAAATTGTGGTGATTCATTCTTGATTGAACTGCTAACTGAAGAAACAAGATTAATAAACGTTAAAGTACAGTAGAACTCTGATTATTCAAATTGATTCATGACAGATGATTCAAATAATTGGATTATTGAAAAACCTGAACATATTTTATATCCACAGAGAATGCCATGATTAAAAACAGTTTTTGGTAATTTTCTTTTCTGCTTTTTCTTGAACAAATTAATTATTTCTTTTTAACCACTATTGTCAGATAACATTTTGGTTTATTTAGCATTGTAAATATTTTAATAATATACACACCAATCAAAACCCAATATTAAGCAAATATACTCCTACAACTGCCATAAATGATCAGGCTAAATTTGGATATAATGATTATAATGATTATAATCATTATATCCAAATTTAGCCTGATCATTTATGGCAGTTGTGAAAGTATAAATATTTTAATGTCTATAAAAAAAAGAACAGGTTTGAAAATCAAACAACACACAGCTGAACACTGACATGCAACAACAACTGAGAACAGACTGGAATGGACAGGAATAATAATCATGCAGATTAACTCAGTGAATAGAGGAAATATGTCAAAAATGAAGCTTTCATTTTTTGGTTGTGGTGATTCAATTAATTGGCAGTTTGGATAATTTGAATTCAAATAACCAGTGTTCTATTATATTCTTGGAATTTGGGTTTTTTTTTTTTTGCATTTTTGTATATGTAATATGTTTTATATTTTGGGGTACCATTTCACATGGTTTGTATTTATTAATGAATGTTAGAATATTATTTAATGTTTGAATATTTCTTTCTAAAATGCCAAATGAACTTCCAAATTATTAATCAAGATATAATGCAATTCAGCAGTTTGTTTGGCATTTCTAATTCAATTGGGTTGATATATATGTTATATATTTGTTCTTTTCCATGAGTTCTTTGAATTTTAATATTTAAAAGTTTTTAGTGTTCCAGTTCTGTTTAGTTTGTATCATTCTATTTTTCTATGTTCTCCTATAAGGTGTTTTGAGCACCTTCTTCAGGTGTTCAAAAGAGCAAGACTGAAAATATTAACATCATTTAAGTTTCATTGCTGGATTTACAAAGATTTTTGTTATTTGTGGAATTTGATTTATTTCTATGTAACATATTATAATTTTCAATGGGTTTTTTTTTCTGGAAAAATTTTTCTATAAGTTATCTAGTAACATTAAAGTAATAACTCATAATTATTAGAAATAAACTTTTGTATACAATCAAACCTTGATATTCAAAAAAGTTGTATTGAAGTACAGTAATACCCCGAACTTACGTGATAGGTGGGACCGAACAATAACCGTGTAAGTCGAATTCACGTAAGTCATGGTATAATTTCGCATATAAATACATACAAATAATTTTTAATTGCGGCCAAAGACTAAAGAAAACAATAATTTAGAAAAAAAATGTTTAATAAAATCTTAGATAATACATATGTATAACAAATTAGGCCTATATTATTTTACAATTTTTCCCATTTACTTGATTATTACGCCATAATTTTAACATTGTTTCCATCTCAGCGATAATACTGTGATGTTTACGAATGAAACTTTAATCTAAACATTGAGCATTTTTCGCAGCTTCAAGAATTTTTTCTTTACCTTTTATAATTGTTCTGACCGTCGATTACGGCAGATCAAACTTCTTTGCCAATTCACAAATTTTCATTTTTGTATCAAAGTCTTTAATAAGTTAACTTTTCATTCCAAAGATAAAGTTTTTTTTTTTTTTTTTTTTTTTTTTGTTTGATGCAGAAGGATCAGTTCTACTTCCTTTGGATGACATAGTAGAGTCTCTCGAGTATCCATAGATATAACAAACACAGAAATAAATAACGCAAAATAAATTGTAGCTATATGTCGATTCCGCGCAACACGTCCAAACATGTAAGCTGAACAATAGTGCGAGGGAGTGAGTAATCAAGAGTCGAGTGGCGCTCAAACAAAAGACAAATTGACGAGATTTGAAAATCACGTAACTCTGGGTTTGCATAAGTCGGGGTAGCGTAAGTCGAGGTATTACTGTACTGTACATGGTAGGAGCCAAAAATTTCTGGCCTAATTATGTTTTAGATGTTATAGATATAAAACAATGATGTCATTTTTCAATAGTCTTGTTGCAGTTAATACACTTAATACATCTTAGAATTAGCATTTCAATATCACTGAAAAAATAATCTACAGTTTTGTCTGCAAAATGCTTATAAACTGCCTCCTGCAACTTTTCATCACTTTTTTGAGTTTTGGAAACAGATAATAATCACTAGGAGTCATGTCTGGGCTGTAGTGTGGATGGTCAAGCTCCTTGAACCCATACTCTTTCACACAGCCTTGGCAATGGCAGCTATGTGCACTGGCACATTGTCCTGCAAGAGGCAAATATGATGCAAATTAATGCAACAAGTTTAACTAAAATGAATATTTCCAAGTGACTTACACAAATTGGAGGGAAAAACTGTTTTATTAGTCCATATACATATGGCACTAACTGATACTATTATTATTTTATTCCTACCACATCTAAAATATAATTAGGCTGGAAACTTTTGATATCTACCTCATATTAATGTCAAACTGTTTTTAGTGAATTGTGTTTAGATTGATTGCTTTTAAACATGCTAGCTGAAAATATTTGGCAATGAATAAATATTTGCACCATTTAGAATAATTTAATGTGTTTTTAATTTTGTGGATTAAATGATTTAAAAAAAAATTAGAGCAGACATATGTTACATATTACTTTTGTACCTTTTTTCCTATATTTTCTCAATTGGTTGAATTTTATCAATATTTAATCAAAACAAATGTTTTAGGCCTGATTGATAAGCTTTTGTCAGGTTTTTAGAGATTCTATTTCTAGAATTATTTGATATAATTGTATTTTTTAAATCATAACAGTTTTTTTTATTTGTTTTCAGGCTGAAAACATTTATTTTGATTAAATTGAATTGCTGGAAAAGTGTGAAAGGTATGTTTAGTGTCTTAATCCTTCTCTCTCATAAAATGCAAAAAAACTCAAAGTATTTCACCATTGTGTTATATACATGTTTTTATGTGGCTTTTATTTATATTTTACAAAAGAGAAGATAGTTCTTATAGTTTTTTGCATTGCTTTTGTAAATTTTTGAGAAATAAATAAATATTTCATATCAGTTCAATAAAACTCAAACATGCTTTGTATATTATATTCACTTCAAGGTACTAGAACACAAATATTTATAACTGTTTACATTTGCTAAATTTCAATTGCAAACTGTTAGAATTAATTTTATCCTGATGATGTAGGTTATTTTGTAAATGAATAAGATAGAATCAAGATTTACATGTGTGTGCCACATCTAACAAGAGTCCAAAATTATAGGAAAGTTTGAAATTTATTAAAATTTACCCTCTGTTTACCCCTAGAAAATGGATTATAACTTGCTGATTAACATAAAAGATCACAATCTTAGAAATGCTTTGAATATTTTTAAAAATTTTGTAATCTGTCCAAAATTCCAAATTTTATTTTGAACTTGCATAATTTTTTATTAGTTCAATTGAGAAATGTGTGTGGAAACTTATTGAAAATATGAGAAAAAAAATGAGCTTTATTATTGAATGAGCAAAGTAACAATTATCTTGACATTACAATAGCATTTATAAAGTGCTATTTCAGCATATTATTAATTATTATAATTACAATTAATTATAATTATTACAGAATATTATTCAATTTTGAAATTTAAATTTCATTTCTAATAAAACAAATTCTTTGTTATAAGTTCATTAAAAAGTCTATTTAGTTTAAGATACACTGATTTTGTGTTTTTTTTTTTAATTAAAATTTTTATGGTTTAACTTTAACATTTCAGATAAGTTATTTTAACTAGTTTATATTGTTGAAGCATGCAATTACATCTAGGCCTATAATTTTGCTTCAACATAATATTTTGGTTTTAAAGTTAATTTGCATATTTTGAAAGTTATAGAGATTCTTAATTTATTATAGCATCTTATGATGACTTTACTATTTAATATTCAAAAACTATATTTTTTTCTAATTTTGTAAATGTGTTTTTTGAAACTTGATGCTTAAAACTGGAAAAAATAACTTTATGACTATAAAACATAAAGAAACTCAAAAGGGTTAAAGAAGTTGAGATATTTATTCAGGTTAAAAATAAAAACATAAACTGTATATATACCTTAAATTATATATACCTTATGTATTTTAAAATATATATGTTTTTATTTTTAGTTTTGCTTTGTACTTGATGCACAAATACTGTTATATTTTATTTTCATGTTTATAATTTAAAAATATCTGTTAATTCGTTTTAAAAAATGTTTGAATTTGCAGCATTGACCAGTTACACATCATCAAGTCATCATCATCATGTTCTAACACTATTGAACCATGTTAATCAAAGCTTTTCATCCTTCTTGTTATCCCACAATTATCTTTTTTCATCTTTCTGCTTTTTTCATATTCTGTCTCTGTTGTCTTTAATGTAGTCTCTGAATCTACATTTTTTTAACTTAAAAGAACTGTACACTACTTTGTTGATGTAGCATACTTTTTTCTTCAAAACTTTATTATTTTGCTATAATTATTTCTATAGTAATATAAAAAAAATTTTTATAAATGAGTTACATGAACAGCATGTAGCATGTCTGCTATACATTGACATATGGTGTGGCCAAACTTTTATCCCTTAGGGGCTACTTTTTTGGTAAAATATAGTCTGCGGGCGACTATGAATATGGGCAAACAATTTTAGGATTTTTATATGCGCATGCGTTAACATTCATTTGCATTGTTCATCAGGATAAATACAAATAGTATGGGTATATTGCACAGACAGTCTATTATTGTAAGAATAAATTATCAAATTAAGATTTTTAAACATTAATTTAAGTGAAAGAAAATTGTTCAACTTTAGCTTCATGGACTATTTTCAAAACTTTGCGGTTGACCGGTCGACCGCGGTCTACATGTTGGCCATCCCTGACATATAGGATAGCTCAAAAGTCTGTTAACTATTGTAAAGACTAAATTAATGTCTTATTCAATTACTTTGTACTATTTCAAAATTTGTAAGTAGTGAAGTCTGTGAACTTTATAAAAGAAGACTTAAATTTTGCAAATATGTCTGGAATATCAAGTAAGACATGGTTAACCAACTTTTGGACCATTTTGTATATAAATAAATATTACATTATTATTAAAGTATAAAATTGTAAGAAAATTAAGCTTTCTTGGAGTGAAAAATCTTCAAATTTTTAAAATTCAAAAATTTTCAAATCTTTTTAAACCTTTTTTTCATTATCTTAATGAGCAAAACTTGAAAGCATTTTTCATAATTGTTATAATTGAGGTTTTATTGGAGTTTTGGCGTGTTCTGAACCCTAAAATAAAGAAAACTGAAATATATGTTTGTGATTTTTATATAAAATGGCATTTAAAAATCTCAGCAAATTTAAATCTGTCTTTAGCTTACTTTGTGAATAATTGAAATGAATTAGAATTATTCAATATCACTGAAACATGCATTTTAGTGATCTATTACATTTTAAATGCTTCAGTAATGATAACAGAAAATCTTAAACTGTCCTTCATTTGTATTAGAACTATTGTGAGCTGATTGATGACCTAGTCAGTGGCATAGCTAGGATTTGTGCTGCCTAGAGTAGTTCTTGAGTTTGCCACCTCCATGAAAACAATATAATATGCATCAAACATACTTAGATAAAAATTGAAAAAATGTATAGCCACAGGGAAAAACCTTTGAAAAAATTAGAATTTGTTATTAATTAAAGGCAATTACTTATAAATAATAAGTAATAATATAAAATTTATTTTTTAATAACATGTCTAGGAGTCACCAAATTAAAAATAATGGGCATCGCGAGGGACTACGCATGGAAGGACATGCAAATGCGAGCTATCGAAACGTACAATGAGTTCAAAAAACAAATGACGCGGCGATTTGAAAGAGAACCCTATTCTCTCAGACTCCAAAATTTCCATGCATGCATACAAAAACACGACGAGGATGTTCAAACAAACATACACAGTGCGGTTGCAAAGCCTAGTAACGGAAACAATAATCGAGCAGACAGGGGCTGATGCTCGGGAAACCGAAATAATCAAGCGATGTCAAGCTAGAGAGCGAGACGAGAGACTACTCGCCCAATTTTTAACCGGTCTGAATGCTAAAATTAAGGGTAGAGTATTGTCCCGAGAACCGGACACATTTGACAAAGCAATCAAAGCTGCCTTAGCGAAGAAACGATAATACAATTAACGGAAACCTCTTCTAGAGGAATAATTAGAACAGTAGCTAATCCCAAACATACGAATAATAACCTAAAAGCCACAATAGCGAACTTACAAAGACAATTAAACAAACTGAAACTTAGAAATGAAAATATGTGGCGGAGAGGAATACAATCGGCGAATAGAGGAAGATCATACTATCCCCCATCAGAACGGCATGGTTATCCTCGAACAAATTCATATGTCGGAGGAGCACGAAGCAAAAAGCAACCATACCGATCGAACGATAGAGCAGGGGAACAAACAAACGAATTTCGATTCAGACATCCTTCACGCCAACCCCATGTCCAACCGTACGATCAAATTAGGAAAGTAAACAGACGACTGATTAGAGACACACACTCCTCACCCTCAATCTACTCACACCCTCGGAACCAAAGATATTTTAGAAGGAACAATAGAAACTGGGGAAACAGCAAAGAAAACTTCCAGCGGAAACCGTACAAAATGAAAATCTCCCGATAGTACGAAACGAAAGAGTTTCAAAGGAATAAAAAAGGAGAGGAAGAACCGACACTTTACTGCCACATTAACGGCGGGAACTCGCAACTAGCCGTAGACACAGGCTCGGAAGTAACGTTGCTGTTGAGGTCTCTAGTGAACCGAATAGGGAAAATAACCCGAATAACAAACAGAAAAGAAATACCATTCTGAAGTGTTACCGGACATCAAATCTACCCGCATGGGAAAGGCGAATTCCAGTTCGACATAGGTCCACTACAATTCAACTTCACATGCTATGTAGTCGACGATCGAATCACCTATTCATTCGACGGACTAATGGGAAGAGACTTAATAACAGACTTAAATTTTGGAATAAATTTAGCGGATGAAACGATAATATTTCCGGATGGAAGAGGAATAAGCTTTCGAGAATCTTACGAACCTCGAAAGGAAGATACACAACTTCCCCTAAAAAGAATTTCTACCGACCTGAAAACTGTTTGGGTGGTTTGATTCTGAGAAAGGAGAGAAGAAGGAAAGAAACGGAACAAACAGCGACTACCCCAACCCCACAAAACTCAACTCAACCAAACTCAACCCCAAACCGGGATAGAACCCAGGATCAAACAAACAATCTTCCCCTCTCAAATTAACGAACTTTCAACTTCTCCGATAAAAGAAAGACCTTCTTTACGTAAAATTACCCCGCCGACTTCAGAAACAAGAAACAATTCGGGAATTGAAGCGAATCAAAATCAACCGAACACAACTCAGTCAATAGAAAAACATCCAGACCCCAATCCGATAAAACGTCTCAATTACTTACAAAAAATTATAACAATTATTTTCCTTATGATAATGACCATTTTAAGTGTTCCATTTTTACCCGCAATCCTTTTTCCTAAACAATGAACAACAACATTAGAGCAAGGAACACGAAACAACACATCAACCCCAAAACAATATTCATGGCGAAGTCGCATACCTGTTAGAAGCCCAGTTTCACTCTTGCAAGCAAACAAACAAAAAACAAAAGAAAGAAAAAGGTAAAAACCCGAGAGAGAGCCATGATCACAATGAATTGTAAAACTTACAACTTAATCACGACGTGTCAATAACTTCCGCAACGGAAATAATACTGTGACGCGATATAGAAAAAAAACGAGAGAGAGCCGGAACAACTTTGTTAACTCATCTTTAAAGAAAAAAAATCCAGCTTGCTCGTCGAGAACAAGCTCGATTTTAGAAAGTCCACGGTGATGTGAGGGCCAGGATTTAAGAGGGCCGAGATTTGAATAGTTATATTATTTTTTGTTCATTCATTTACGTTTTGTTTCAAACCAAACCGATTTTTTTAAAGTTAGGGTTAACACAAAAAGGGAAAAACAACCGACAAATTTTCTCATAAAAATCTCTCATAAAACCTCCATTCCCACGACAATACTTCCCTGTAGAAGATGAGTTAACTGTTGTGTCATAAGTTTGTCACTTCGCCCACCATTGGTCAAAGAAGATAATCACCTGTGACGTACATGGGGAAATCTCGAAAAGAGAGCCCCCATATAAAAGACAAGTAGGATGACGACACAAGGGGGAGAAAAGTTATTTTCTATACTGTGTGTGTGTGTGTGTGGATTACCCGCCTCTCGTCGCCGTCTTCAACAGACTTTGAACTTTGACTGATTTGAACTTTGGACTATATTCCGAACCCAGGAGAACAAGAAACTACATCCACGGTTTAACTCGAGGTATTTATTCTACTCGCAATGATATGTAAGCTCTCTCTTGCTATTCGACTATTCCAAACTTGCGGTTAGGATCACGACTAATTTATAATTTGCCCGCTACTTATGAACTATACGGATGGAACCCCCGAGAGGGATTTGTATTCCAAGAATTTACTATGAAAAAAATGTATACTAATAAATGGGTATTTTGTTAACGAACTTGGATTGGTGTGCATTTCTTCCGACATTTTCCACTCCATACTGAACCCGAAGTCCTCGACGAGATCGCTCATGATAATTTCCCCATCAAATTGACCGCGTATCTATCTGCGATAAATTGATAGATTGGTGTCAGATCCTGACGGGTGAAAGAATCTAATGATCCTTTCCCCTAACCCTTTTTCTCCCATCCTTTAGACAAGCGAGACCGGACCTCAAGTCTTGAGTCGAGTAAGAGGTAGGAGAGTGAAGAACTCGTAAACATCCTACCCCCGATTAGTCTAACAACTCTCAAACAACAGCTAATTTCTGAAGGAGGAGTAATCTGATAAAAAATGATATGACACCATTTTTTATCAGAACTGTTGAATCTCTTAAACTTATTCAGATACTTTTATATTCTAAAATCCCATTTGTGAGACAATGTTCTAATATTCTAATACCTCCTTTCCAGAAAGGACCAAAGAGAGCTTTTTTCTGTCTGTTTGGTTTAATAAGCATTTACATTGTATTATATATATATAAATCAGTTGGTTAATGTGATGACAAAATGAAACATTATTAATTCTATAATTCTAGAACAATATCAAATTAATGATGATAAATTAAGCAAAGAGTAATAAATAAAACACACAAAAAAAGTATTAATGGCTAAATTATTATAAAAATTATAATTTTGTTGAGAATAAGAATAAGAAATGATTTTGTAACATAAGTTTGTTATTAATCTTGAATAAACATAATGTATATATTACAATTTGTAGTTACAGATTATTTCTAAAAGTATTACATGTTACAAAGATATTACATGATTGAAAAGTTAATTTATAATATATTTTTTTAACTTTTAGTAAAATAATTTATTAACTATTTGTAATATATTTTTAAATTATATTTTTCAGAAATTACATAGAAAATACAGGAAAGATATCAAAAGTAAACAGATAATATGTGAAGTTTGCATTTGTTGCAATGACTTTAAAGGTATGAGAAAATAAATTTTTTAACTGTATTTGATTTATTATTGATTATGTAAATCTTTAATTTGAATAATATTTTAAAAAATTACAATTATACCAGATAATGAAATGAAAGTAGAAGTTGCAAATAATACAAGGAATTTGTACTTTCAGTATCACTGAACTCCTCAATGAAATTTTTTGAGTACTAATTTTGTTTGTTCCTCCTGTATATGTTGAATATACTGGGTGATCAAAGAAAACACTTACTTGTGAGAAGTATAGTGAAGAGTTTGTTTGGTAAGGCCACCAAAAAATGTACGGTAGACCCCCCTATAATGCGTAGATATGTTCCACGTTATAAGAATTTCACATTGTAGGAATCCTTAAATACATGAGCCAATTACAGCCTGACACGTGTGAAGTTTACGGACTACGGCTGTTTGAAAGGTTTTCTTCCATAAAATTAATCAATTCTAGACTAATTTGACTCAACATTTCCAAAACACGTGTAATTTTTTGGGAATAATCCATATAAACTATGCTATAAACAAAAAATTGTAGGATTACTTACCGAGTGTGCACCATTTGACGTCGCCATTGCTTAAACTTGTTTTCGTCGTGGAGCAGCGCACCAAATGGCAGCCGCAATTTCTGATAAGTTATTTTTTTGTGAAAAATTCGTTGAACTTTGGAGACATCATTAATATAAATTAATTTTTATGGCCATTGAATAAGAAATGTTTCTTTCACAAGAAATGTATAAAATTACAGTGCTGTATTAGACTTATGGTACCTAATTTACATACTGTACAGACAATAGTAAACTCAACTTAACCGCCTAAACTCTCTGTAGTATGGCGCTAGGTGGCGGAAAGTATATATATATATATATATATATATATAGCTANTACAGTACCGAATTTATATATAATTAATATATAATTATATGTACAGTACCTAATTTATATATAATTTATATATAATACTGTACAGACGATAATAAACTCAATTTACCTGCCTAAACTCTCCGTAGCGTGGCGCTGGACGGCGGAAAGTAGTTTGGCTGCTCGTCCACTATTGGTCCAGATTCGATTAATCCTGTCATGATACGAGTTGGCGACAATGTTTTACAAGTCCCTTTTAGTGTCCTTATACGAATACTGTCGCAATTTTTTTGCCATGTTATAGGAATCTCCATTATAGGAACCCATGTTATAGGGGGGTCTACTGTATTTTAATGAAAACCAGAAAATGGATCAAATTGAGACATGTAATAGGCCATGTGTATCCTTAGGCACTATGCTGTACCCTCTTGTAATATATAATTACATATATTAAACCTATTATAACTTAATTAGTTCTTGGAAAGACAATATTAAGTGAACTGTTTTAAATCAAACGCTGATTTTTCATAAATTTACTGCCATAAATTAAGATTCTATTTTTCAAAATATGAAGCATGTTCAGAAAGTAAGTGTACTGTGACCATAATGGGCTGTGGTATTTTGTTTTTTTGAGGGTTGGCAACACTAAGTGGTAGAGAGAGATCTCCTGACAGAGTGAGCATCACAGGAACATGGTAGTACGTAAACTCACATAGTAGTGTCCAGTTGTGTGAAAGATGTTGGTAAGAAATCCCACCAAGTGCGAGCCACGTGCTGTCATCCACTTCCTACTCACGGAAGGAATAACATCTACCAAAATTTTTTTGTGAATCAAAACAGTTTATGGTGAAGGTGATATGAACAGAGCGAGTGTGTTTAAGTGGTATAGGAAGTTTAGTGGAGGCAGAACAAATGTTCATGATGAACAGAGGAGTGGAAGACCTTCCATTTTGACTGATGAGTTGCTGCAAAAAATCGAGGAAACTGTTTGTGAAGACCGCCGATTGACAGTGAATGAAATTTCTGTGATGTTTCCACAACTCTCCAGAACTATCTTAATACGAGAAACTCACGAACACTGGCAGGAGAGTTCTTTGAGGAGGGCATAAAGAAACTTGTGCCATGGCTCACCACATGCATTGAACAGAATGGCAATTATGTGGAAAAATAGTCAACAAGTGTATCAGCAATATCCTGTAATTTTTTTCAAATACACTTTTTCTAAAAAAATATAAAAATCTAGTTCACTTACTTTCTGAACATGCCTTGTATATTTTTAATTACCTAAAACTACACAAAGATGGCTAACCAAAGAAAAAATATGGCATTTGTGATAGAATTTTTATACCAACTATAAAAGTGCCCACAAGTGGAGTCTACTGTGTTTCATTAATTTTATATATCCATTAAGAATATTGAGATTTGGTTTCTTATATATATATTTTTTATTTTATTTTCTAGATGAAATTTTAATGTTCATTTTGTTACATTACACCTCAATATCATGCCTACTAAACAACAGTTAGATAAAGCTGCTTGGGAATGGGCTGAAAAATTTGAACCATCTGAATTAACTCAACAGCATATTGAAACAGCATACAGGGTAAAATTAAAACCATGTAAACCAAATTCCTGCAGGTATATATTTTAGAATGTAATATTTTATTAAGTTATTAGGGAAAAAAAAATCAGTTTTTGCATTTTTTAGCATTGAATATGGCAGATATTTCTTGAATATAACACAAACAAAAATTTGAATATATTAGAATGATGATTATCTGAATCTTAGTTATTCAAATTGCCATTTAACTAAATCACTGCAACTGAGTATTCAAGCTTATTTGAGGTATATGATAATGACAACTGAAATGGAAATAATGACAGTTTACACTGTCATTATTTCCATTTCAGTTGTCATTATCATATGTCAACATTTAGTGTTATGTTTTGTTTCATTTTCAAACTCATTCTACTTTTATGGTTGTTAAAATATTTATCATGTCAAATAAACTGAAATATGTTGACTTATAATGATGGCCAGAATGGAAGTAATTTATTGAAAAAGAGTAGGTTGAGAAGAAAATTACCAAAACTGATTTTTATCATTCTGGTAGTACATTACAATAATGTACTTTATTGATATGAATATTTTACTATCTTTCCCTTAATCCTAACATCCAAATTTTTGATTTTCTTGAATATGATCAATTTGACACTTACTGTCCTATCATATTATGTATATAATATCATAAGGGAAGATTATATATAAAAAGACAAAATTTATGTGGGAACAAACTTTAAAAAATTTAAATAAAATTATTGAAAGAACAAAGTTATAATTTTCTTAACTTAATGAATACAGTTTTTTAATTACAAAAGATAACATTTTAATAAAAGTGTAATATAATTAACATTAAAAGATACAAAAAGCACTTTTGTTGAGTTAGTTCTGGCTTCTTCATTTCTTTGTCATCTGATTAAAAAAATCAAATGACAAAGAATTGTTTGACTTAAAAAACTGATAAAGCAGGCATTTTTTGTATATTTTAATACTAATTACATTACAAGTTTTTATTAAAATGTTGCTTTTTATATTTTAAAGTGCATTCATAAGTACTATACAATATAAAGGACAAACTTCATTCTAGTGATAATTTTTCAATGGCTACAGTTTTCTGATATTTTTACATTTAAATTTTTGAAAGCTTGTTCCTATTTCTTTATTTTATTGTTTATATATAATCTTTCCTGTTGATATACTGTATACATAATATGATAGAATTACTCAATCTTTCTATATTTGTATCTCTTCAAGTAATATCTGCTCTACTTAATTTTAGAAAATGGATGAAACATTAACTTTTGAATATTTTATTTAATATATATTATTATTACTTTTATTTATATAGTAATAATTATTTTATCAGACGAAATTGCAAAGGAAATCCACATTGTCTGTATGGTTTGGGAGAAAGAAGTTGGTTGCAAGAAATTGCCGATGAAGATTGGCATGAAATAGATGATCCAAATTCTGAACGAAGACCGAAAGTATTTAATGTTTTTTAAAAATTTCTTTTTAAATATTATAAAATGCTAATATAAAATTTATATCTGTGTGTGTATGTATATATTTATATATATATTTTTTTATATTATTTCAAGGATTCTTTTGTTGGTTTAAAAAATCTAGGAGCAACTTGCTATGTCAACAGCTTTCTTCAGGTATTTGAAAATTTAAAAACTTTTGTAATTGGAGAATTGTTTTGCATTAAATTAAATTATAAGTTTTTTTGATATTTAATATTTTCTCACTTAACTCACTTAAATTTTATATTTAAAATGGAAGTTGTTATTTAAATTTGCACATTGGCAGTTAAATTGTGTCTATTAATAATAATTTTTTGATGTGATACAACAGAATAGTGGATTATTTAAGGCAACCAAAAGAAGTACTGTTATATTGTATTCTTACATAATGATGTCAAGTTTTGTTTATTTTTATGACTACTCTCAAAAAATAAGTCATATGTATCAAATGTGTGTAAAAAAGTTTTTACTGTAATGTTTGCAGTTTGCATTTTGCAGGATTTTATGTTTTTCCAGAATGATATTAAAGGAAAGTAATATGCAAACTGTAATAGTTAAAATTGCATAGTGATTGATTTAAAACAGGATTTGTAAGGATAATGCACTCTGATGTGTGTAAAAGACCCGAATCATTTACAAGTTGAAAAACTGAATCCTTTGTGGTTTCTGGACATAATCAACAATAATTTTTAAAATTACATATTAAAACCTTAAATAAAATGCATAAAAATAGATATGGTAAATTAATAATTAGGTTTTTTTTTTGGTGTTATAATTATGTGCTTTTGGGATATATGCTAATTTATTTTTGTTTTTTTCATATAATTACTATAGAGTGATCAATTGAATATTTATTTGTGGTATATCATCCACTGTAATTACAAAAGGAAAAATTACATTTTATGTAAGCAATATTCTATATATTACAGGTATGGTATCATAATCCAGCTTTTAGAAAGGCAATTTATCAGTGGAAAGCAGATGACGATCCTCAAGAAATAGAGGCAAAAATGAAATGTAATTATATTAATTAGTCATTAAAACAAATGAAATAAAGTATTTATTAGATATTAATGATTTTATTAATTTTTAAGGTGCTGAAACAAAAAGTGAATCAACTTCTTATAATCCTTCTTCTTGCATTGGTCATTTGCAATTAATATTTTCTTTTCTTCAATTTAGTGTAAGAAGGTAAATTAATTTTAAATTAGTTTTATATACAGAAATAACAAATATTGAAATATTCATATATTTAAAAGTTACATCGATCCTTCACAATTTATAAACTATTTGGGCTTGAATGCAACTCAACAGCAAGTATGAATTTTTTTTTTAATTTTATGTTTAGCCAAGTTAAATTATATTTATTAAAATATTTCTTTCATAATGTAGGATGCCCAAGAATTCAGTAAATTATTTATATCATTATTAGAAGGCAAACTTTCATATCAGAGTAATCCTGCTGTAAGCAATATTGTGCAAGAACAGTATAGTGGAGAATATGCCTATATCACTAAGTATGAATCTGTTAAAGCAATTTAAAGACTCATACTTCTTACTGAATTGATAAACTGCTTGTTACAGGTGTCGAAATTGCTTGAACGAATCGACATATCCTTCTTTATTTTATGAACTTGATCTAAATATTAAAGGACATAAAGACATCTATTCATGTCTTGATGAATTTTTAAAGGTAAAGTAGCAAAATTTACTCAAATAGAAGTATGTATGTGTTTTTTTTTTATTAGGGGATTGATGCTATTAAATTTTGTGATCAAAGGTCAAGGGAGTGGGGAGATAATGGGAGTTGTATGTATCTCTGGTAGTGTCGGACTTAATGATGATTTTACTTATTATTAGCATTTACAATTTTTTTATAAAACCCATCTCCCTCAAAATTAAGTTTTTTGTCATTTTATAATAGTTAAAAATATATAAAATTTTTTAATAAAATATGATAATAGATGGCACCTCCAAAATTTTAAATGTTACTGGGAAAGTTGAGCAACTCGTTGCTAGTTTATTTTTTAGACGGCTTAACTATATTTGTTTCAAATTACAATTTTATTTAAATTTTATTATGGATGTGTTAAAAATTTTAATTAAGTATTCTAAGGCAAAATAATAAGTTAATGTATATATTATTAATAAATAAGAAACTTTTGTTGCTTTTAATATTGTAAGTTCAATATATTTTTGAATCTTAAATTATTTACTTACAATTAAATGTTTTCTAATTCAATGGAATTGATTTTGAATCAACTTTTATGTTTAGAGTAGTTTGTTCTTTTATTCAAAGTTGATGTTAGAATGAAAGATTATTATAAACATTTAAATTTTCAGTTAAAAAGATAGATGGTGCATTCTCAATATAAAAATACAGAAGAAACTAAGTTGTCTTCCTTTCCATCCTGTCCAATCCCAAGAACAAAGTTGGACAGGACAAAAAGGAAGACAACTTAGTTTCTTTATTTTTATATTTAAACTTTCATTCAAATGAATCACAAAATTGTTTAAAATACATTCATTTATAATTGTTTATCCCACATAAGGTAGTATGATGTATTTTGAGATATATTTGAAAGAGAAGAATCCAAAAGCACAAGGAAATATTTTGATTTATGATGATTGATTTTTACTTTATTATTTTTTTTAATTTTGAATAAGTGTAGTGTTACTAAATAGAATTAATAAATGAGTACTTTATGTGGTGGTCAAAAATAAACTGAACTTTTAATATAGCTTTATTATGTTAATAGTATAAATATTTACAGAAAATCCTGTTTAAAAGTAAGCAGTTTCTATAGCTACACATTTCTGCCAATGTTTATATCATTTGTGAAAACAGTCCTAGAAGAGCATTTGTTTCTGCAGCTTCTGTATGCCTTTATCAGATATTCCTGGTCAAATTTTTTCAACTTCTTATCTCTTGCCATCAAAGACTTCTATTTGTTTCCTAAAATGAAAGAAAAATTGAAAATTTTTAGACTTCAATCACAACAGAAATATGCTTTGACAAGTGCTATAGATATAGGAAGAAGCATGTAATTACAGTAATTTAGTAGTAATAAAGTAGTATAGTGTACGAATTTATATGTTGTGAAATGTGCCAAACCTATGCCTATGCCAAAATTTGGTTTATTTTTGACTCTGTTATTGTCTATATATCTAAGCCAATTTTAATAAGTAGATCTCTGAATGCCAGATTTTTTTCAAACTATGCTAGAAATTTTTAATGAGCAAGCTTTGCTGTCAATGAAACTATTTAATTTGGCCTAAAGATAGGTAATTAGGCAATAATCTAGTTATTAATATTAATAATAATAATAATAATAATAATAATAATGTTTATTGATTTAAATTTAAATTTCTTACAATGGGGACTATTTGATTAAATCATGTTAATAAATGTACATACAATCCATAAAATAAATTAACGGAGAAATTCCAAAGATTTAGAGAAAAAGGAAAAAAACTTAAATAAGGTGATTTTTGACATGACCTCGTTCTTCAAAAAATCACATCTGAACTCGTCTCCTAATATAGCACTTTTTAGTTGATATGTCACCTGACAGGATTCAAACAAATGAGTCAGAAGATTTCCTTCCTCTTTAGCACCACAATAACTACAGCACCCTTCACTGAATATATTTATTCTATAGCCTTTAAACAAAATCCGAAATTTATTTAATCTGAGTTGCATAATGAGACTTTTTGTGAGAAAATTAGTCTCACAATTCAAGTAACTTGCTGTACACCAGACCAAGCGTGATTCAAACAGATTAACTCGTTTAGCTGATATGGAAGACATATCCCAGTTCCACAACTGATCTGACTTAGTTTGAATTAGTGCATTTAAATGGGTTCTCAACAAAGAAGCTGAATGAGATAAAAATAAAAAGGAATAACCCAAGCCATCAAAAATATTTTTAACTGAAGCTGGCCAACTTTTCTTACCAGGTTTAACTGCTGTTAGCAATAGATTATATGTTATTCGACGCAAATCACATGAGGGTAACTCCATGACTTTTGACCAGAACAAAACAATATCCTTAACAAATTTCAGTTCCAAAGGAGGTCTTCCCAATTCAAGACGAACTGCAGAACTTGAAACTGAACGTTCTATTTTAAAAAGTCTCTTAAAATATTTCATCTGTACTTTTTCTATTTTAGACAGAAATTCCAAACCCCATACAGGGAATAAATAAGACATCCTGGAACGAATAAAAGCATCAAAAAGCCTAAACATACTTCTCATAGAGCTTAGCCTCATACGTTTTTGTAGAGTAAGAATGTAGCCTGTCTTTTTCTGTATATCTTCGACCATCAAGTTAAAATGATGACTAAATGCACCTGAAGAAGAAAAATGTATTCCTAAGTATTTAATATATGTAACAAATTCAATTTCAGTGTTATTCACAAATATCTTATCAGATTTCAGTAATCTACCTCCATTGCGAAAAACCATTCCCTTTGTTTTTTGTAAGTTAACTGTGAGGTCATTTCTTTCTGCATAATTAATCAGCAAAGATAGTTTTCGCTGTAAACCCGTCTTTGAATCTGCCAACAAAATTACATCATCTGCATACATTAGACAATGCAGGTCGACAGAATCTCCAAGTGCTAAACCCGAAATTTTTGAAGTAGCAAACAATTGCGGTAAATCGTTAATAAATAATATAAACAACAGAGGACTTAAAGGCTCACCCTGTGGCAAGCCTCCACCAGAAATAACACCCTTAGTAGCTGTCGAGTTGCCGCTCACATGATACCTTGTATTACAAAATAAGTTTTTAAGTAGCTTAATAAACGAAGTTGAAAGTCCTAATGAATATAACTTTCCCCACAAAATATTAAGATTGATTTTATCAAACGCCTTTTCCAGGTCCACAAATATCGAATAAATTTTACGTCTTTTCCTTGACAGAACATACTGTATTAACCCGTTAATTAATATTAATAATTGTATTAATTTCATAATTAAATTTAATACTTTAGAATATTTATAAAAAACAAGCAACTTAAAGCAGAACTTAAACCTATAACTTCTGCTTACTGTGCAGATGCATTACCAGTTATTCTACATAGACTTCTGTTTGATCTTTGATTCCAGAACTGTTCATTTGAACCATGTCAATCATCTTGCCAACTGGCCTGTATAGTTATGTAGTTGATGGCTAATCATCTATGCTTAGACTAAATTACTTAGTTTTACTGATTAAAATCTAGTCTGAATATAGCTAAAAAACTGATATTATATATATATATATATGTGGTACTGTGAAAGACCGAAATTAGAGAATGTTGATATTCTCTAGTGAATGTCGACACACAAAAAATACATCAGTGAAAGACTGAATATTTGGTTATATTATTATACATTTGAACAATTGCCAGTGTATGTCGACAAGCACAGACAATCTTTGGTGGAGGTTGAAATGACACCAGAGAAGCTGATGTGAACAGAGAGTCTGTTGCCAAATTCTTTGCTGTTTCCTTTTGCTCAAATTGGTGATACCATTCAAATACAAGTCCTTGATGTCAACTATGGTCCTTTAGATGCCTGAAATGTGTTGGCAGTTGTTGTTGGAATAGAAGACTCTGACTTTTATAAATTAGCAAACAAAAATGGTACCCTCAAGCAGCTTTATACCCATAATCAGTTCGTAATTTGTAAAGAAAAGTTACTTCCCTTAGAAGAGATTTCTTCTCAAGAAATATCACTGAGAAGCAGCTGCAGCTAATTTGAAAAGTGGAGGTCAAGGCTATACATTCTGTCATTGCAAAAAGAAGTGTTCCATGAATAAATGCAGTTGTAAAAGCAAGGGACTCTTATGCAATTCAAAGTGTCATAACAGTTTAAGTTGCTGCAATAAATAAGATTGTATAATGTTAATCACATAATTTATGTGTAAGTTTATTGTTGTATTATTTTCTTTAATGATTTAAAATGTACTGTTCGTTTTAGGTTCAACAGTTTATTTACATGCGCTGTTACTTAAGTTTTCTCCTATTTTGACATATTAAAAAGTTGCATTTTTGTCTTAAAATGTAATAAAAATATTTTTATTCAACATTCAGCATGCTCTGATGATGATGAATGTTGAATGATAATGAATGACTGATATAAGTGAGAAATAATGATATTGAGTAAAAAATTCATACGTACACGAAATGACTGTGTGAATGCTGAAGAATATTTACATTTGCCAATATCAATTATTCACAGTAACATATATATATATATATATAATGGAACCTCTATATTCGTCATTAATTGGTTCCTAAGGACCTAACAAATATGGAATATGACAAATATAGAAACAATTTTTCTCATAATAAATAACTGGTATTCAATTAATCCATTCCCATCCTGAAAAAATAAAGGTACAAGAAGAAAAATTATGTTGTTTGTAAAACTTTATCTTTATTGTACTAAATAAATACAGTATAGTGGTAGAAGGGGAATAACAGTATTATTAATATAGTATATTAATAGTATAGTATTATTGTTTAGAAGAAGACATATCAATTAAAACATTAGGCTATTCCAATTATGATCATCGGGTCTGTTTTGCCGATGATTCAGTAGCACTCGATTTAATAAAGAACTTGTCCAGTGTTATGTGTTTTTGTCGCTTTTTAAAACTTTTCTGAAGTAGGCAATTACATTATCATTGAATGTATTTGTATTTTGGTTGACTATAACAACATTTGGGTGCCACTTTGAAGTGATTGGAACTTGGTTTCTCATGTTGATTACTTTTCAGTAACTTAACAACACACATGGTGACCGCACAAAGCAGAATGATTAATACAGCTAACTGATCAGCGCGGGCGTGCAATTGTAGTAACACTTCCAGTGTTGGCAATGACAACGAATACAGAAAATACTGACAAATATGGAAAAATAAAAAAAGTCATCAAAATGTGACAAATATTGAATATTACAAATATAGAGGTTCCACTGTATATTATATTTAATTCAAAAATTAATAAAAATTATAGGTAATTTCTGAGAATTTTAAATTAAATATTAATTTTATTTAATTATTAAAACAGTATTAAATATATAATGTTTTTTTACATAAAAAATCTAGCAATTTTATTATTTTAGGAAGAAGAGCTTGATGGAAGCAATCAATATTACTGCAGCTATTGCCAAAATAAACAGAATGCAACGCGTGCCATAAGACTATTACGTTTGCCTAAACTTCTCAACTTACAGCTACTAAGATTTGTGTTTGACCGTCAAACGGGTTGTAAAAAAAAACTTAATTCCTATATACAATTCTGTGAAGTTTTGGATCTGAGTAAATATGTACAAAAACCAGGTAAATAATTTTCTTTACTGTAATAAAAGATTACTTTTAGTTTTTGTACAAATAATGAAGACTTTATTCTCTCTTAGAAAACTCTGTATTATATGACCTTTACGCTGTACTGATTCACCAAGGACCTAGTGCGTATTCTGGCCACTATGTGGCTCACATTCAAGATAGGATATCTGGTGCTTGGTTTAAATTCAATGATGAAACAGTTGAAAGAATGGAAGGAAAGAAACTTCAACTTGGTACAGAAGAAAATTTAACAGGTACAGCAATAAGAATTTAAAAGAATTTTCTATTAAGTTAAACTAGAAATTTTTAATTTCAGATAATTCAACTAAAACTAATCCTAAAGCACCTAAATTAACGAAAGGAAGCCATGCTTCAAACAATGCTTACATGTTAGTCTATCGATTACGAGATGATAATTATAAAGGTAAACATAATTTGTATGAATTGCTTTTCTTACTTTAAGCAATAATAAGATCAAGTCACTTTTAACATACCTTTTAACATATTTTGTCCCATTAACTCTAAATATTTCTTCCAAGTTCATTGTAAATTAATTTGGATCAAATTTTTTTTTCATTCAGTTTAAATTATGTAGTATGAGAAAGTTGCAACAGCATAAAAATTATTTTGAAATAAATATTAAAAAAAGAAATCCACAAATGTCCAGTTAGGCCTTGTAATTAAAAGAATCACCTGTATTATGAGTAAAATGTGTTTATATGGTCATTGTTGTTATGGCCAAAAATTATCATTTATATGACCATTACTTAGCCATATAGATGAGTATTTTTGATTATAATTAAAATAAAAATAAATTAAAGATAAAAAATAAATGATTTTTATTTTAATGATTTTTACTATTTTAATAAAAGCAAACTAAAAATTAAGCAGTCAAACTGATGGCTTGACCCCACTAGTTTATTACTATTTATTTACTGTAATATTACTGTTTGTAGAATTTGTAATTACTGCATTTGACATATAAGTTATTATTTTTTCACTTAAGTTGACTTGCTATTTTAACATTGAGTCAAAATTGACTTGTAAAAAAATGTCTAGTGAAACTGATTTTTTTCATTTTTATGCATTTTGATGGATATGAAATCTGTATCTAACACATGGACTCTTTAGTGCCTGGGGAAAAAATTGAAACTGAAGAATTAAGTGATTTTGTCTCATCACAGCTGTTTATTATATGAAACAATACTAGATAATTTATGGCAATTGCCAAAACTAATTACACTCCATTAGGTTGTTATTTCCATTACTTTTTACTAAATATCCTCTTGACAACATTATTAACTATCATTGAAAGTTAATAATGTTGAAAGTTCAAAATAAATTTAAAATGTTTTGTTTCTATATTTATTTGAAAAGGATTTGGTTTTTATATTTATAGTTAAAAATTTTGATATTAAATTTATATTTAAACTAGGGGCTTTGTCCCTGCTTTCTTCAAAAACTTTATGATGATTTGTTGATTCCTGATGCTGCTATTTCTATTTTTATTTCCCTTTTTTATGTATATAACATCTCTATGACATCTTGCTGCACACATATATAAGTGGGGGGAGCTGGTGATCAAGCAGAACTGAGTTGTTAGTCTATAAAAGTGAGAAAGGCTGAATTACGATTTTTTAGTGAAAGGTTTCTATACAAAGTCCTGGTCCTATTCTCTCAATGATTTCAAAATGATCTGCAGACTGCCACAAGTAGTGTCATTGGGTGATGGTGAGTGTGTGTCTGTGAATGTTGATATTTGGTGGTGGTCTCTGACAGGAACTGGCTGTTGCCCTACATGATTTAGGGCTGTGGCCCATAGATAAACAGATGTGGGAAGACTGTGCAGTCCATGGTATATATACCAGATACAGTAGAGTGTCGATTATCCGAATCAATTGGGGACTGGAGTTGTTCGGAAGATCAATGTTTTGGATAACCGATTATGTACGAAAAAATATATTAATTTATCCCATCTTGACATTTTTCTCCCTTGCGTGTCAGTTTCAAAAATCAGTTTCCCAATATATATTTTTATTTCTAGTGTTTTTTATATTTTTTTGCACTTCTTACATTCTGGAGAAAGAGCAAAATATTTTTTATATTTGTCCTTTCTTCAGAATGTTTGTTGACACAATGAGCAAAACATTTTCTAATTTGTATGAATATACAGTAAAACCTGTCTAGGGCGACCACCCACGGTTCCTTCAAAAAGTGGTCAATTTTAGACAGGTGGTCGTCCAATACAGGTGGTCCTGTAATAACGTATTTCCGTATGTATTTTATGCACTTTTTAGCCATTTCTACTAAACAAAATTTGAGATGAGCAAAAATAAGTGAATTTTTTTAACAATAGGGCTATAATGGTATTGTATTTTATTCTTATCGGATAACCTGATTTACAGGAGTCATCATGATATTATAAGACAGATTTAATACCAATATTTTAAAGATTAATACAATACTTGCATTTTTTCGATTATAATGCACACTTTGTTTTTTCCGACTTAATTAATTTGACTCGGTTCTTTTCGTTCGCTCCTCAGTTACATGTATTATGTCATCGATATACAAGCGCGTCCTATCTCTCCATCACTTTGCTTTTGGTTTTCGTTAGTTTAATCTTATTTTAACTTTAAAAATACTGTATTTTTTTAATATTTAATATTTTCTTAATTAATTAAGTACAATAAGAAAAATTATTAATTAATAATAAAATGATTTTATTATTTTTTCTCATTATACGATTTCATTACAATCGCGGAATCGAAAAAGGAAGTAAAACTGATTTTTGCATTAATGCGTTTATTGTTTTTTGAATATTTTGCCTGTGAAAATTACTTGGATATTATTCTTCTAAAAATATTGTGGAAATAAGGTAGGTTGATACAGAAACTATTTATCGCACATGTACTGTATATGAGCTTCAAAATAAATAAATAAATAAAAATAGATTTTATCAAACAATGAGATCAGCCGATTAATTGTATTGTGTACAATATTTTACACCCCCAAGGAAAATACTGTAGGTCTACGGTAAAATCAATTTCGTTTTCCCAGTTAAACTTCACCGCTAATTGCTGTTGTGATAACTTTAATACAATCTTCTAACGACAGCACTTTGCATTTCTTTTGTTTTTCAGACATTTTCCAACAAACTGAAATGAATTTCCTTTGTTGCTAGACTAATTTATTAACACCTGCACCTAATTTCAAGGCTGGGAGAAGTGCCTGGGATGGGTTCAAACAAGAGTTTAGACTAATTCATTATATTAGGAGGGGTAAACATTGTTGAGATGGGTTCTTAGAATAGTTTAGACCAGATACATTTGTGAAAGTGGTCACTTATTACAGGTGTTGTATGTTGTTACGGACCAAAAATCGATGCCTGTGGTTGCGTTAAATGGGTGGTCATTTAATACAGGTAACTTATACGAAGACTCTATGGATAAACTATTCGGTGCCAGAAATTTTTGCCCATTTTGACAGGTTCCTGTTGAATGCATGTGGTCGCCTAAGCAGTTTTCACTGTACTTATTGACAAGTTATGCACCCAGATAGGATTGTCTGATTACTGCAAAACCTGACATACAGCTATGTTGCAGACAGATATGTAAATGATTGCAGTTGTGCAGTTGTGATCTGATTGCATGTCAGATAATGCCACTAGAGTGCTTTAAAATTGGTACTCCAATATTCTATGAAATGGCTCATATAAGCTTACTATTCAGAAATTTTAAATGTACTTGTTGCTTGGAGATCTTCAGCCATCAGGCATGCCTGTATAACACAGATAAATTATGCACAGCTGATGGAGTTTGAGAAAGGCCATATCATCAGGCTGAGGGAAACGGGGTGGTTATTTTGCTGATTGCCTGTCAATTGGGCCATTCTGTCTGTGAGGAGGGGAGGTGTTAGAGGCAGTGAATATATAAGGGTACATATACACAGTGGGCAGGCTCTGGGCAACAGCCCATTAGGAGAGGAATATGTGCTTGTCTCATGGTTGTTTGATCATGAGATGAGCACATATAGCTGGCTGGAATGGTGTACTACTTGTCCACCATTCAGAGACAGGTGGAAGAAATCTTGCTACAGAACCTTGTCTTTTTCCATGTCATTGATAGATGACTAGTAGTAGAAAATTTGCATATACAATGACTATTGTATGTCCTGCTATTAACCCCTGGCATTGTTGACTTTGTCTGCAGTGGGGTGATGATAGAAAAGCATGGATTGCTAAGAAATAGAAGCATATTTTCTTTAGTAAAATATTCCAGTTCTGTTTGGGAATGAACAAATGCTGTATTAGAATGTGCAGCAAACTGACCTCTCTGCTGTCATACAGGTCCAGGGAATCATCATATGACAGTAGTGATATAAGGGATATTGATGGCACAGTAGTACATCATGAAATCCTGCATCTTTATGTATTATCTTTAGTGACAGGGCTACAAACATCTGTTTTACAGCAAGATAATGCTTAGCTGCTTACAGCTAGTTTTCCAAGAGTGTGTCTGTTATGTTGCCACACTTCCTTGGCCTGCTGTGTCTCCAGATTTGTCATCTATCAAGCATTTGTTGAACTAGAAGGATGCCAGCATCAACCATCTATGAATATGAGAGATCTGGAGTGACAAATTTGTAGACAGATCTGTCATAGAGTGGCATGTAGTACCTGTATGCCTCTATGCTAGGCTGTATTATTGCCTGTATTCAGGCAAGGTCCAAAGTACTGAAGGTTGCTTTAAATTGTACTGTTGTTCTACAGGAAATTGCCCCTTTACTATTGTATTGTAATTGTTTATGACTATCATTATTATGTTTGCATTAATAAACTTTTATTTGATTCCATTGTTTTGTGTATCTTTTTCAATTAATGAATGTATTATTAAATTAGATAAAGTCTTTGAGATTAAAATAATAATTTTAACAATAACTATAATTGTTTTCAGAGTTTTATCAGTAGTTGTATTATAACAGATAATAATTTTTCATTGTAACAAAGTAAAGACATACTTATAGAACTTATAGAACAATGATTCCCAAACTTTTTTGATCCACTGCCCCCTTTGTTCCATAAAGTTATACCCAATGCCTCCTAACCCATTTTCTCTTGTGTGAGAAAGGATTGGAAAAATTCTTATGAAAACTTTTCTATGAATCTCAAACTTTGTGCCCTTACTGTACATTGTTCTCAACATCTGGAAACCATTAAACGCAATGTTTCCTCTTATCAGCTTAACAGAGGAAAGGGAACGGCTTTCAGTGACCCCAATTTTGCCTTTAGTCACTGTTCAATACCCTGCCTCCAGCGCCCCTAGATTTACTCATCGCCCACAAGGGGGCATTATTGCCCACTTTGAGAAACACTGTTATAGAACATATAATAGACAAATAATAGAAATAATAAACACACAATTTTGGAGTTGATTGAAATTCTGTATTTTATGTTATATTTACATATAATTGTTTACAGAATATCCAGCAGACACTTCTGAAGAGTGGGATCTACCAGAGTATTTGCAAGAAGCTGTAGTTGAAGATAATAGCAAATTTGAAGAATGGGTTGCTGATTTGGCTGTTATGAGGGTAAGTATTAGTTATTTGTGAAGTTTTAACTAAAAAAAATAACTTAAATTTTTCCTACATATTTTGAAACATGAAAAGATTTATTTATGCATCTGATTGAACAATCAAATACATAAATAAATTAATTGAAATAATACAACCTTAAAAAATATTTTCTTCTGAATAAAATAAATATTATTCTTACATTTATAAAAATAAGAATATTTATTTTATGAATTATTATTTATATTGATACAACAATATAATATATCAAAAATAAATGGTCTTGATGCTTTTCCTGTTCTTTATTAAATCATAATTTAAAAAAATATACAGTAGAGCATTGTTTATCCGCAGGTCGGTTATCCGAAAGAATTCCAGTCGACAAATTTAAATTTTCACCAGTGCTGTGGCGCTGTAATCTTTGGCTATGTCTTCGGCTACTCAAATATTTTACGTTTTTGATCTAAATTAACATCTGAAGTATAATTTTTTATTGTTTTTATATTTTTCAATAAATTTATTTTGTTTGTACAAAATAAAAACATAATTTTTAACGATACAATAGTCTTCGCTAGGCTTAACATCGACGAAAAGTCAACGTGAAGAGACATGCAACGGAGAAAAATTTCAACACGGGATAAATTAATATATTTTTTCGTACATAATTGGTTATCCGAAAAATAAGTTATCCGAACAACCCCAGTCCCCAATTGATTCAGATAAACGACGCTCTACTGTATAAACTGAAGACTAAATATGAACGAAAGTTTGAAGTTGTCTTATTAATTTTTTTTTTCTTTTCTGTTTATAAATAAAATAAAACATTGACTCTGCTAATGTAACACATTTTAAAAATTTCTTTAAAATTGTGTGCAGTAGAGGAATAAAGAATTTTTAAAATGTGTTAGATTTGTCATTCGGTGTGATAAACCCTTACATAAGATAGCCTTTATAGGTATGTAGCCAATCTTACCCATTTTCACTGGATGCAAAAACTAGGTCCTTCTTTCTGAGGCTAATTAGAGAATTTTTAGATGCGTCTAAAATTATGTTAGATTTTCTGCAAAAATGCAAAAAACTGCATACAAAATAGTACTGTAGAAGCCAAGTTCTTTGGGTAATCCTTAACCCTCTTCCTCTTTCTTGCAGGTGGAATTTCTAAAAATCCCTTCTTAGTGTGCATTCTCGTGGTATACCCTAATTGTGTACCAAACTTTAACTTTCAACTCCTAACCATTTGGGTTTTATTATCATCATCAACCCATCTCGGTTATAAGATTAATCATTATTATCATATTTTAAAATGAAATTGAAAATTTGAATGTTGTTGAATTGTTGGAAGCTAAATTGATTGATTGTGAATTTATTCATAAAAAATTAAAAAAAAGTAATGATTTATCAATAAGAAATGATTTACAATTTATAATTAAATAATTTCAAGTTCTATTTAGTGAAATTGTCAGTTTATATCTTATAGTTTAGTTGAATCTTTACAATATACAAATTCCAAAAATCAAATAAGAGCATCTTTAATTAATTAAAGAAGCCTCATTTAAGTAAAAGACAAATTATTCTTTACATGATATAGTAAAAATTGATAATAATAATAATAATAATGTTTTTTATTTACTTATAAAAGTTTTCTTTTGAACTTCTTAAGAAAACATTTTAATTTTCTAGGAACAAAATGTAATGACAGGTAAAGCAAGACAAATGGAAATAAGATCTTTATATGAAATTCTTCCAGTAAAAGAAGGTAATTTTATTATAATAACTATACAAGTGTTTTAGTTTAAATGACAGTTTATATTTTAAAACTTAACATAGGTATGCCTTATGAGTGGATCAATACAGATTGGTTAGGAAAATGGCTCACCAGTGACACAGGAAATATCTTGCCCATTGACAATTCTCAGTATTTCTGTGTGCATGGAAAGTAAGAATTCTAATTTCTAACTTAATTTTATTAATTATAATGATGAAAATTATATGCTACTTTTAAAATAGGCTACATCCAGACCAAGTTACAAAAATGAAATGTATTAGTTTGGAGGCAGTAAGAATTTTTTAAATTTATATTACTTAAAATTGTTTAATATAATAACTATTATTTAAGTAAATTTTTTTGATGACGTAGGCTGAAAAAATTTATGAGAAATATGGAGGAGGCCCAAGATTTAGGTATTAAAATTTTTGAACAATTTCCATTTGGTTATTTCAATTTAACTAATTTATTCATTTTTATTTTTCAGTAACTTATCTCTCTGTAGAAATTGTGTTGAAATGAGATGTAAGTTACTTCGACTGAAAGCCAAGATACAAGAAGAAAGCAAAATACTTACAAATCTCGTAAAGGCAAAAATTTCTGAGTATGTTTTTGTTATATGAAATATGTTATAATTAAACAAAATTTTAAACAATAATCAAAACTTTCAGTAAGATTTCCAAAGCAAAGGAAGTTTTACAAACTTCTGTTTATGAACTGTAGAAATATATTTTCTTTTTTAAATTTTACAAGGAATAAAATCTGTTGTTCAGATACTACTTTCTGAGAAAATACTGTCTGTACAATAATAAATTCAGAAAAGTAAGAANAAATCTAAGAAACACTAAAACTATAACATTTAAATCGTAACTGTGGTGTTTATATTGCAATATTTCCAATTTCATTAAAATAATGATAATTTTATTAACTCAGAATTTTTTAACTCAATTCCTTCTCTCCCTTCCAATTCAGGTTATTGAGTGTTAACTGTAATTAGAAATAAATTTAAATTAAATTAAATAATTTAGAATATTCTAGAAGAAAATATTGACCAGAATGGGATTTGAATCTACATATTCTGCATGGTATGCAGTAGATCAGTGGTTCTCAACCTTTTTTGTTGATGTACCCATTAGTTGTTTCTCAAATACCCCTTATATTTTTGTATGTAAATTTTATAATTACTGTGTTGATATAAACAGCCCTTATAACTGAGCGCCATAAAAAAACTCTAACTAACTATAACTTAAAAGTGAATTACTTATTTTACATAAATAATAATANTAAAAAATTACATAAAATATTTATTTGTCTCATGTGAATTTTTTAAACATTACATATCATGCGTATAATCTTTCAGCAAATAATATGTATTTGAATTAAATACAAAACGGAACATTTTCAGCCTCTTAGGGGCCTGCATCAAGTGTCAAACTTTACAGAACATTAGAGATTCTAATTTTATTCTAATTCTACAGAACATCAGATATTTTAATTCTGTAGAGTTTGATGCTTGATGCAGGCTCCTAAAAGAGGCCGAAAATGTTCCGTTTTGTATTTAATTCAAATACATATTTGCTGAAAGAGTGTATACATGGTATGTAGTGTTTAATTTATCTTGTTCCAGTTGTTAGACTTTTATGTCGTTTGAATTTTTTTTTTAAGGACTATTTTCAAAATTTTAGTGTGTCTGTAAGATGTTGGCTTTGATTTAGTTTATTACTTTAAGATAAATCCTTTTGATTCTATGCTACAACAGCCTGGTTTTTACAGATGCTAATAATTTCTGAGATTACAACTGTAAAAAATGTTATTTCCAAAGGATTCTGTGATGTGTGGTGGCAGCTGGAGTGTTGACAATGCTACATTTTCTCTGTTGAATTTTCACGACAAGAAATTGTCTATCAGTGCTAGTCTCTCAACTTCCAGTCAATTCTGGCAAAATGGGCCTTTCAGTATGAAGTGTTGCTTGATACTTTCATTCAGTTGTGTCAAAGCATGCCATTGCTCCAGTTTGCAAAAATTTTGTCATTCAATTATTTAGAAATCAGAAATAGTGTGAAACTTGCAATATATTTTACTAATGTATTGTGATATTATCAAATTCTGTATTTATTCTTTTTTAAGAGAAAATTGTTTGTATAAATTATTAAAATGATATTTTTTCAGTTTAATATGGAAATTTGAAATATTTTTTATTATTAAACTGGAAGAAGTGTATAAAAAAAGTTAATGTTTGATGATGATAACTATTTAAAATAACTTTTCTCATACAATGAATAATTAAATAGTTTCTATAAATATATTTTAGTGAAGAAAATGCCTATTGGATAGGAAAATGTTCTCTTCGAAGTTGGAGAAGAATGGTTTTGGATCAGTATGAACATGATGATTTGGAGAAAACTAAAACTGAAAATACTTCTGAAATTTTTGATAATAATGAACATTTACTAGAATGTAAGTAATAATAAAATAATTGTGTATGTATAGTTTCATCAGAATATGAAGTGTTTATTTAAATTTCAGCTGGAAATAATGATGACCCTTCCATTACACTTCAGGATGAAACTGATGATGAAGTTCCATTAGGATTTAATGAAGATCTCTTATGTGAACACAGTATGATGGATTAATGTTCTTAATAAATAAATATTATAACTTTCATTTAGAGAATAATAATTTTTCTCAAAAGATTAATTAAATTTTATAAAATTTTAACTTTTAGATAATTTGTCAGTTGACGGAAACACTAGAAAATTAATTCCAGAGAAAGCTTGGAAAATATTTAAATATTATTTTCCTTTTGCTCCTGAATTTTCAAGGAATAGAGATCCTTGTTCTTTATGCTTGGTTAGTTACATATTTATTATAAAAAATTGCAGTGAACTGTCTAAATTCTGGATAATTGATATACAAAATTATTTAAAAGAGAGCCATTTTTTTAATTATTGTTTTCTTATCATGAATAAAATTCTTATACATTTATTCATAATTTCAAGTAACAATACATAATGATGTAAATGTACTGATTACTGCTTATATAACCACCACCACCACCACCTTTTTCAATACATTCTGATTATCATATACAAACAAAGATGTTGACCATATTGATATCTGGTTATTGTATTTGATGAATGAATAATTTTACAATAAAAAGTAGAAACCAAAATTGAACTTAATAATTTATTTAAAAAAAACCCAACATTCTTCTCTTCCATATTTACCAGATTTTAGATTTTCACTGTAAAATTTATTTTACTAATTTTTCTAAACATAATAATTTAAATTTGAGAAATATATAATATTCTAGATTAATAAATTGTGTAAGTTAAATAAAAATAAATTAAATATTACTATTTATTTAACAGTTTATTTGCTCATTTTTCTGCCAGTTATATGAAAAATATATTGAGAGGTTTAGCACAAATTATGTTTTTACCTTTATTATTATTATGTTGTGAATGTCATGCTCAACTGATACTGATGCCAAGTGCTATGCTGGACTAAAGCCAAGGCATTGCAACCAAAACAAAACAAAAATTTAAATAAGTGTGTCAGTGTATGTGTCTGTATTCAGGAATTTCTTAACAATATGACATGTACTCAATATAGTGGCCTTCTGTAGTGTGATGTATGTGTTTCTATTCAACTGTAATGTGTAATGTCCCAGGCTTTTGTGTAGTGTGTGCAGTATGACACTTGTAGAGGAGAGAATGACAGGTATAATAAGCACCCTATCCATTCTCCAAAGATGTCTTATTTCTTGGGCGAGTTCTATATACTTGCTGATTTTTTCAGTGTACGTGTTTTGTATATTGTGAGTGTTTGGAATGGATATATGTGATTTTATTGTGTTTGTCAATGAGTGTGATTTCTGGTCTGTTGGGGTAAATTGTTTTATCTGTGATTATGGCTCTGTCATAGTACATTTTGGGCATGTTGTTTTCCAATACTGTCTGTGGAATGTATTTGTTGTACAGCTCATGGATGTCTAATAATTTGTGTTTGTTTGCAAGCTCTTGGTGTATTATATTTGCTTGATTATGTCTGTGTAAATAATCTGTCTGTGCCAAGAGCTTGCAACGAGAAGTAATGTGTTGTATAGTTTCTGTCATGATGTGACATTTTCTGCATGTCTTTCATTGTGAGTGTTGTATCTTTGAGTTGTGTTTATATGTATTTTCTGTAGTTTTTAGTATTTATGACCTGATGCTATATGGCAATCAGGAACTCTTCCATCTTCCCAAATAGGCATCCCCAAGCTAACCAGCTATTTGATTAGTTTTGTCAACAAAATCCTAGGCCAGGTCGTAGGGATGCCTATTATGAAGTACCTTTTTAGCCCATGATTATTTAATGATGTCTGTGCTTTTTATATGTTGTGAGTGTAAATTTAATGTGTGTTATTTAAGTCTGCTAGAGTTTGCTCTATGTAACTGTGATGTTTCTTTATTATTTTTTTTATTATATTACTGTTATTACTCTTATTATTATTATAATATTCTGTATAATTTGTTTCAGTTAATTTTATGACAATAACATGCTGTCAAATCTCAATAATGCACTTTCTTAAAATAGTGTTATCTTTGTAAAGTGCAATTGAATATTTGTAATGGATTTTTTGTATAAATACTAAATAGAGAATCCTTAAGCATAAATGAATGATTGAAAGTATACTTCTTCATTGCAAATGCCATTATCACTAATCCTGTGACTTCCAAACTCTCAAACTTGTATGTAGATGTAATTACTATTGTACTCATTCTCATTGTTTGAATAACTTAAGTTTAGTGCCTCACTTGATTAAGACTTAGTATGTACTAAGGTAACACCAACTCGTATCTCTAAGCCTTTTACCAGTGCACATATTATCTCACTGTCTATCAGTTACAAATGTTTTCAAACCGTTACAGTTCTTCAGGTACCGATCCCCTAACAGAATGCAGTTCAACGATGTTACAAAATATGATGTCCCGACCCGATGATGCCACTACGGACTTGCACGTTATGCATGGCATGCTCTATCTTAGCGATTTATCTATTAGGGCCTGCCAGGCTGTCGATAGAGCGATTTTGTCCTTGTAGTTAATGCAATAACGTCCTTCACTCGTATTTATGCATATGTATATCGCCTCCAGCCATCTGAGGTGGTTTGTGTGGTGGGTGATATGAATGACCTTTGCTTACGAGAATGCGGGTTCTATGTCAGGGTCTGACGAGTATATCGCAAGAGCTGTGTTGGTTCTTTCATGGTTGATATCTGCTTTATGCTCTTTGATCTGGGTTATTAGGGGCGTTTAGTTGATCCTATGTAGATCATGTTTCTATCACACCTGTGATCAATGACAGGGATGGTGTAGACGCCGGGGAGCTTATTTCAGTCTGGGGTGTCCTTTCCATTCCTTAACAAATCAAAAATTGTAGCGCATCTTCTAAATGTAATATGGATATTCTTTTTCTTAACTATCTCCTTGTATAAGGATTTAAGTACTGGATTGTATGTGATAGGGATGTTGCTACTAGGAGTATCGTCGGAGAGTTGGTGACAGTTTGCTTCCTGCTGCATTTTTGCGTTTAGTTTGTATATTAGCCCGTGGTATCCGTGCTGTTTGGCTATATCCTCTATGCATTTCATTTCGGACCAGAGTGCCATTTGGGACGAGAAGTGCGTATGTGCCCTCCTGATCAAGGCTTTGAACGCTGCGACTTTGTATTGTGGAGGGTCACATGACCCTGCTGGTATGTATAAACTATCTGAGGTCGGTTTGCGGTAAATGGCTGTGTGGACGGTTGCACTTTCGATCGTCATGTTAATGTCCAGGAAGTGTGCCTAAGATCCCATTACAGATTTCTCAGAATTATCAAATTTTAGGAATGGCAATTATGTGCAGCATAATTATGCATGAAAATCTCATAATCAGCAGAAAATTACCACCTTATGTGTGTGATTGCAGGTTAAAATAAAGATCCTGTATCAATAGGTTTAAGTAATTTTGAGTTTTCCATTGATTGCACCAATGCAACTCAGAAAAATTGTTCAAAACTCATTGCAACTTCCTTCTATTTCTCTATAGTCATTTCTGGCATGTAAATTGTCTTTAATTTATCACAAAGTATAATGAACACTTTCTGGATTATATTTGAGATAAGGGACTTCTCAAGACAATGTCCATAGTTTAAATCAGAAAAGAACAACTGAAGTCAAACAACTGGAAAAAACAAAACACATATGGATTATAAATTCTGAAAGATATTTCTGATTTTTTAAAAATTAATAATACATTTTTTAGATTTAAATTTTCTGCTAAAATCAGGGCTGTGGAGTCGCGTAAAAATCTACCAACTCCGACTTTTCCTTACCATCCGACTCCGACTCCAGCTAAAACACCAAAACTCCATGACTCCGACTCCGACACCGATTCCACAGCCCTGGCAGGGCTGTGGAATCGGTGTCGTGTAAAAGTCTACTGACTCCGACTCTGACTCCAACTTTTCCTTACCATCCGATCCGACTCTGGCTAAAACACCAAAACTCCACGACTCCGACTCCGACTCCACAGCCCTGGCTAAAATGGAAAAGCTTAAGGGATAACTATACAAGAGAACGGAAAAAGCAGAAAAATCTTCCATTGGGATTGGGGGCAAGAAACACAAACATCTATGTTTATTTCAAGAGGTTGCAGTGTCTAAAAAGGTTTGTCACTAATAAAGAAATGACTACTAATATTGGTGATGATGTAATGGAAACATTGTCAGATAAAAATTTTGATATTACAATAGAACCAGGTAAGAGGAGGCAAGTTGGATTCCCCAAAAATGATTAAATTCAATTGACCAACAATTTTTAGATACTTTAGAAAAGATTTATCATCAACAGCAACATTAGAACAATTAAATGATCAAGATGACAAACTATTTTGTATGTTACTATACAGTCGACCCCCCTATAACATAGAGATACGTTTCATTCTCTAGGAATCCGATTTCTTACGAATCCTTCCAATCACAACCCGACACGTGTCAAGTTTACGGACTACAGCTGTTTGAAAGATTTTCTTCCATAAAATTAATCGATTCTAGACTANTGCAATCAGCATCCAGAATGTGCATATATGTAATAAATTTCTTTTCTGAAACAGATGGATTTATTATAAATAAATTCATATCAAATATAAATTTAATGCTGAAGTAATATTTTCAACTAGTGATAGTTTAACTAGTGATGTTTGATGCTACAGGAGTGATTTGTGTCAACAGATTTTATAAAAAGAATTTAAGATTGTACAAAATTAAACTGATGCTAAAATTATGACCTGTTGCATCCTACAAATTATGCATGGGAATTAAGTATTTAGCATGATTGTAAACAATTCATTAATCATTTGTTTTTGAATGATTGACAAAACTAAGCCAATTGTTTTTATCATATTCAACAGAATCAGACAATTTTGGTAATTTCTACAGGAATTTATTTTCATAACTTTTTATTTTACTCTTATAATTGAATGATTGTCAAAATGGAGAGTAGGTTGCTGAAAATTTATCACAAAATTTATTCTGTTAGAAGTAAAAATTTCTGTTATAATTATATCGAATATGTAAATTTATAATTACATGTTTTAGATTTTATAAAAATGTTTTAGCCAGTTATAAAAAAATTAAAATATGAGAAAATGAAACACAGAGTTTCAGTTTTATTTTCAACAGTCATAAAATTGAAAGTGCACTTTTCTGGAATACTGTGAAATAAGTAAGGAAGCCTTTTTCCCTGGCCTGATGTATATGCTAGGCAGCATACCATCAGGTGCATAAAGCATTGTTTTAATTTTGCTCTATAATTTTTATTA